ACTTACCACCAAACAACAACAACAACAACAAAACCAGGACAGAGATTGAGACTTTTGTTGGGAAGAACAATGAAAATAATTGAAATAATTGTGAAGTGATCTGCTAGCTCCTTTTTGTCTTCCTCTTTTGGCCAGTTCAGTTCAAACGACACTGAAAAAAGTGACCACCTATCACACTTATGACCATTGCAGCATCTCCATGGTCACATCATTTACATTATGATGCTTGACAATTAGTTCACGTTTATAACAGTTGCAGTGTACATGGGTGATGGATAATCTTTTGCAACCTTCCGACAAGCAAAGTCAACGTGGAAGCCGCATTCACTTAACTACCGTTGTACTAATTTAACAACTGCAGTGATTCACCTAACAAATATGGCAAGAAAAGTCATTAAATGGAGCAAAACAAATTTAACAAATTTCTCACTTAGCAACATAAATTCTGGGCTCAATTGTGGTCGTCAAACAAGGACTATCTGTGCCTTGATTTGGTCTATGTCAGCGATGGCAAACGTTTTGGTCTTCGATGTGTCAAAAACTTGAAAAATGCCTAATTTGACTCTGCTGGCATGTCACCCTGCCCCTGAACAAAAGAGAAACAATTCTTTTATGTATTTGTTTATTTAAACAAAATACAATCCAATTATCTGTGTGACGCCCAGAATCTGCTGCAAAGTGCTTGCCTTCAGGTGGAGCTTTCATTCCTTTGACGGATTCAGAGGTGGTATTCAGCCGGTTCTCTCCGGTCCGGGCAAACCAGTAGCGGCGGGTGCGGGAGGCTCTCTTCACCTGCCCCAATGTAATGTTCAAGCACTGTTCATGCACAGAAGTCAATGCGCATATGCAGACACAGTATGTGCGAGTGAAGCGAGCGCCCATGTGTGGTCACATTCGCAAATCAATAGGGAAGGTAAGTGAATCCCACTACTGGACAGACCCCTGAAACCACCCTGAAACAGCTCCAGGTTGCATGAGATCTTGGTTTCTTGAAACGACTTTGAAGAATGCTCTTCTGTGGCATTTGCAGCCATGTGAAAGCATGTTCCATTCTCGAATGTTTTTTAGAGGGCCCAGAAGCTGCACAAGAGTCTGGCATTCTCAAGTGGCATTTAAATATACATAAATGATTTTAAGAATAGTTGTTGGGTATTGGTCAACGCTGGCATGTCACCTTTGACATGTGTCATAGGTTCACCATCACATGGTCTAAGTTGTTCCAGACTGAGGAATTGTGTGGATTCTCTGAAATGTCCTGACACAAAGATCTCTGTGGTGCATAAATTAGGACGCTCTTAGATCTATTATTGCTTAAACCAAGTATAAAGAAAGGCAGTCCTTCCAAAAACCTTTGTTTACGCTACATCTGTTATCCTTTACAATAACAGATTTTGTATTTAGTAAGTTTCATCCGAATTTTCTATCCATGTTGTCTCAAAGAGCAAAGGTGAAAGAAAAGGCTGTCAGCCCAGCTGCTTGCCTATCGCTTGTGTTTGTTTTGAAAGCATCCAAACAATGCTAAACTGCTGAGAGTAGCGTGTACTCTACAGAAAAATATCTACTGCCAACAGTTTGTAGGTCTTAGACTGCAATATTAAATCTGTCTGTTTGGTTATAATGGCATTTTGTATTGTACTTGTTAGGAATATAATCTAACGGTTGAGTTGGCAATATATAAATCATGTAACAATGTTGTACCTNCAGATATGAACTCCGTGCAGTGTCAGGAAGGACATCCAACTAGGACTCCATCCAGTCGCTGTGACTCTACCCCAAATTAAGGTATTACAGAGTCATAAAAAGGGGAGTTTTGTGGTCATAAGTCAAGGACTACTTATAACAAGTAACAAGTATTCAAGCCCATGAAAACCACACCGTATACAAGGTACACCAGTATTTTCATGATTCTCTGGATAAAAATGTTAGTATTAAAAATACTTAATTGTGCCAAGTCAAACTTCTTGGTGCAGTCATCTAATCTTATCCTAGCGCTTCGAGGAAAAGCCAGATATTCAAAGCTGAATCTCAGAGGCAGAATGTTCCACAGGGCTGCCCTGGAAAAGGCATGCCTCCTAACTCCTATCAAATAGCAAAATTTAAGGGAAGGGACTAGGAATGTGCCCACCATATCTGACCCTATAGGATAAGTATTCGTCCTTCGAGAAAGGCAGTCCTGCAGATAACCTGGCCCTGGTCCAGACAGGGCTATAAAGTGACGGCTAACATTTTGAATTGCACCTGGAAAGAAACCAGAAGCTAGTGCAGCTTCTAACAAAGGTGTTACAAGAGCAAACTAGGGCCCCCATTACTGTGCACACTGTTGCATTCTGGACCAATTGAAATTTTAGGTAGTCTTCAAGGGCAGCCCCATGTACAGTGCATTGCAGTAATCCAAATTAATATTAAATGCTGGTATGTATTAATGAATAAAATATGTATCATGACTTGCAGCTGTTGATAATTTTTTCTCCACCAAAGCGAAGAAAGCTACACTATCAATTCAATGATAGCTGACCTTATGGTAGCAGTCTGTAAATTAAATTATACATTATGGAAAGACTTTTTTTTTTTTGCACGGGATAGTCTCAACTTACTTACCATCTTCTTCCACATAAAAAGACCACACATTCCGTGGAGCATCCCTTTTAAATTTCTTCCAATAATTTAAAAGACTAAATAGCCTTTGGCTAACAATTCAGGCTTGTCTCCCGGTCTACTTTAAAAGGGGGGGGATGGAGAGAAAAAAAACAACAAAGGTGGAGCTGTGATCCCAAATTACCCCAGCACTTCTGCATGACACCCAAGGAAGGACAAGGGGAAGCAACCCCTAAGTGTGCAAAAAGTGATGCAACCTCGCAGTAGAGCAACACCTGAGACGGTTTGGAAAAAGCTCAGGGACTTCCCTATGCAGGGCTTCCTCTGCCTCCCGGCAGCCTCTCACCTCTTGATGCCTTTATCCATTAGGCTGAGCTCCCCTGAAGTTGCGCAGACCGCCGCCATCCCGCTCCACTTAGCGACCTCCCCCCCCAAGCCTGAACCGCGGTAATTGCCGCCCTCCGCTTTGAACCCCGCCCACCAGGCCCTCCTCCCTGTGACTGCGCCAACGGCACCGCTGGGCATGACGGGAGGAATGTGGGCTGCTGCCGCTCCCCTTCCCAGCGGCTGCGAAACGAAGGCGCTGCGGTTGCAAGGCAGGCGTAGGGAAGAAGGAAAGTTTCGGTGTCCCTCTCTACTCCAGGGGCGGAAGACGGGGGGAAAAAACCCCGCCTAAAACGTTTAGAAAGTGATTTGTACTTGTGGACGCAGGATAGGAAAGAGTAAGTTATGAGCAAGGCAGCCCCGGCTGTTCTTACTCATTCCACAGCTGCACGTGCAAACACATTTATGGTACTTGACTATTTCAATATTAAAAATAAAACCCAGTCCAGAAATGCAGCTCCCGCCTGTTAATTTCATAATATGAACCCGATAAGATTGGCTATATTTATTGGGAGTGGGAGGTGGAAAGAAGGCAGGGCACCAAGGAAAAAATGTGAATTGGNGTTGGCAATATATAAATCATGTAACAATGTTGTACCTTTTTCTTTAAATAATACTGTAAAATGTGATTGGTTGCCGTTTTCCTCAATTGGCCATAAGAGGGAGCCAGAATTGCAAGCACATGACTGCAGAAATGATGTGTGATGGTCATACCTTTGAGGATAGGGGGTAGATCAGTTTCCAGGTCGTTGTATCTCCATCCCTAAACAACATGGTCACAAAGCAAAAGCAAAAACAAAACCCAACTGATTTACAATGGCAGTTCAAGTGCATTTATTAAGCAAATCCCATGTGTTAAACGGCATCATTGCGATTATTACCTTCTCCCAGCTTTAATTTGCTTGTTAGAAGCTGGCAGTGAAGGCTTCAAATAGTGATCATGTGACTACAAGAAACTGCAACCATCATAGTGCCTGAATTGCAACTGCAGGGATTCTGTGATGGCCACAGTTCTGAAAACTGCCTACATGTCTCCTTGTTTAGTGCCATTGTAACTTCAGTCACTGAACAAGTGGTCATTGAGTGAGGACGTCTTTTATATGATTGGGGAGTAAAGACAGTAAAAATGGCTGGTGAACAGTTTCATTTTAAAAGTTTAAAAATACTAAAAGCCAGCAGATAAAATCTCTAGGAATTTTCTTTGGACTTTTTTTTTTGACAAACCAAATACGTGAAGGAGTTGTAGCATTGCCTCAGTCCAGGGTAACAGTTTGCTAAATCATTAAAGAACCAGTAAAGTTTTATGGCCATATGCTTCATTTAATGAGTAATCTGGGAGAATATTGAGAAGCACTTCATTTTGATTAACCAGGTACTTAGATTTGGTAGCAGACTTTGAGTAAAATATGTAGGAGGAAAATTAACATTCTGTCCTACGGATAGTCTTTTATCCTGTGCAATCTAGTGGAACATTAGAAAGAAATTATGTAAAGAAGGTTGGGACTCTGTTCATTTGTCTGCCCAAAACAGAATAGAATGAGATCCAATCTCATGTAAAATGAGAAGCCACAAAAAGTAAGATTGAATTAGAAAATGTCCAGGATGCTGCAGAGTAATCTTCCCTCCATACCACCACCCTAGTATATTCCTTTGAGAAATTGAGTTGAGGCTCAGAATGCTAGCAAGGGATTGGAAAGAATTCCAGAAGCCATAATTTGGGGGCTTTCTCTACATTGTTTTTTTCTTTTCTTCTTCCAATGGTAGAAATGGTTCTGTCTAATAGCATATTAGACAGAAATTAAGTGTACAGATTTAGGAATCAGTCTGCCTGCTAACTATCAGCTGATAACTCTCCAAAAACTCAGTGGAACTGGATTATATTTCTTGTGCAGAAAACCCACAGATTGAACTAATTGTTCTTTGCAAAACCTGACCGTCTCCTTTGAACAGACATGGTTAATCATCAACCCCTTTTTTCCCTTTTAAAGTTAAAAGGACAGAGTTCTGAAATCACTTGTTTGCTTTCCACAAGAGAAGGGTGCCAGGTCTTCAGGTTACCCTCATTTGCTCACCCAAAAGCACCAAAAGAAAACAGAAACCATGGGGAGAGACCAAGGTAACCAGGCTAAGGATGCAAATGCCGATGAAAACAAGATCCATCTTAAAAGGACAATGGGCTATTTAGAAGGGGTTAGCTTCATAGTAGGCACAATTATAGGTGCAGGAATTTTTGTCTCCCCAACTGGAGTACTCAAATATTCCTTGCTCAATGTTGGTGTGTCTTTAATAATCTGGACTCTTTCTGGCATCATCTCGCTGATGGGTGCTCTCTGTTACGCAGAGCTCATCATAGCACTGCCGTTTTCTGGAGGGGAATACAGCTACATAAAAAGAGCCCTGGGGTCTCCGGTGGCTTTTATCTTTTTATGGACCGCCATGTTTAATAGACCAGCCTCAAATGCCGCTCGAGCCTTGCTGTTTGCCGAATATGCCATTCAACCTTTTTATGGAGCGTGCCCAGCTCCTGAGATGGCAAAGAAATGTTTGGCTTTGGCTGTTCTCTTGTTCCTTGGGATTCTCAATGGGCGAAGTATCAAGATGGCTGCCTGGGTGCAGATCGTTTTCACCTTTCTCAAAATGATGGCTCTCTCCATTATTGCAATCAGTGGAATAGTCCTGTTGATCAGAGGAAAGACAAAGAACACAGCCAGATTCGAAAATGCTTTCAGTGGTGAGATTCCAGATGCTGTGCAGATCTCAGAAGCATTTTTCCAAGGGTTGTATGCATACGGTGGCTGGTGGTCCCTCAGCTACTTAGCAGGTATGTCTTCCATTTTCTTTGCCAAATCACTTGCTGTGCTGTCAATGAAATCTTGACTCCAGCTAGCCCTTCACTTACCAATCTTTATTCAATGACCATTTGAAGTTTATGCTGAACAAATTGTAGTTATGGTTGGTCCTTGGAGTTCTGGCTGTTCTAACCTTCCCGCAGTTATGTGATTATGACCTGGGCACTTGACAGATCATACTTAGGATGGTGTAGACCCCATGGTCATGTGGTTGTCATTTGAGAACTTCCCTGCCAGCTTCCCCAGTAAGTCAATAGGGAAGCCGGCAGGGGAAGATTGCAAGTTGCTGAGGTAAATCCCCTCCACTCTTCTACTCTCCCTCAGCCACTTCATGCTCATGCCATGCCACCCATCCTGACCTCACTTTGCCTCCCTCATGCACCCTCTCTAACGCTTGCTGTGCCCTTATACATTTTCCTCAAACCTCGCCATTTGAAAAAAGATGTGTTTCTTGCTGCTCCATTCAGTTCTCAGACTGAACCCATTCTCCCATTTAATTTAAATCCATTCAGTATACTGCCTCATTTATCACAGAACTGTATAAAAATAAACTGGCCAATTTCATTATGGCCAGTTTATTTTCACACAGTTCTGTGAGTCTAAAATAGGCCAATTCTTATTAATCCTGGTACCAGTACATTCTTTTTGCAAATAAATTGAGAAAAATCCATATTGCGCAGAAACAACTTCCAGCTTCATCTTAATTTCTAAGAGTGATTGTAGTATATAATTTGTATGGCAGTGCTTTGACTGGAAATGTATAAAGGTAAAGGTTTCCCTCACACATATGTGCTAGTTGTTCCTGATTTTAGGGGGTGGTGCTCATCTCCGTTACAAAGCCGAAGAGCCAGTGNTTTTTTTTTTTTGCATTTTGAGCAGCTCTTTTATTTATTGGGCTTGACATGGAAACTCAGTGAGGCGAAAGGACTTCTAAGCGAGGGCGAATAGAGTAACTAACTGGGTTTGAAAATTCGAGTTTACGTTCCTAGAGGCGTAAAACACAATTGATGAGGCCTTGGGAGAATTTTGGAGAACAAGATTAGGATTGCGTTGGACTGAGATTCATACGACCACCAGATGGCAGCGGAAAGTTACAATACCTCTTAATTGAGGTCTGGCGATATCTGGGAGGTTTGCAGCTGTATTCGATAGCCCCAACTTGCAGGTGCAGATATTTTGTATTTCGAATGAAATGTGCCTTGATTCAAAGTCCAAACCACTTTCTCTGAAAGAGCGAGAGCATTTATTTAAATCGCAATCCTGAGGATTGCTTACAGTTACAATGCAAAGTACAACCTCAGAGTTCAAACTTTTTTTTAATTTAATGTGTAAAAAGCTAATAGTACTGCACTACAGCGTTGGAGGTATACCTTTTTTACTGTTTCAGTAAAAAATATCTTGAAAGTCTAAGTGCTATTGCTATAATAAACATTGAATAATGCAGGTACAATAAGCTTTGACATGCTTCTGGGGGGATTCTAATGCAATCCAATATATTTACTGCCTTGAATATTCTTGTCTGGCAATGATAATATTTCTGAATTCTATTTGCGTTGCCAGTGGAAATCGGGAAAAAATCATTCAAAACAAGGAAATCCCATGGCTCAAGGCACCATTTAAAGTGGCATTTGAAGGAGAAAAATCAGAAAGGGATATGTCTACCTGTCAAATTGGAAATGACACAGTTAGGAGTAACCACTTCTCAGAAGAGTCCACAGTAAATTTCAGGAGCAATGTCAAAATAGCAGATGTTGATAATGTCATCAATTACAAATGCCTTAATTGTGTACCTACATTCCTGCTACAGGCACATAAAGTTGAAGCTGTTGTCCTCTTCCCGCGTTGCATCTTTTGCCACCCTTAACATCCTTCCCATTTCTTCCATTTCTACTTTTCTTGGTAATTGCTAGGAGTCTGACCAGATGGTTAAAATTAAATTATTCTCAAGTCAAAAACACAACTATAATATTTTCAGTGGGACACTTTTACCTTCTGCAGGTGATGAGAAATTATTTCATCATTTTCAACAATTTTTCTAGCGCTACCACATTGCCATGGCATAAGCCTTAGGTGGCATCAAAGAGAGATAGAAAACTCCTTGCTTTGCCTTACTTTCATCCTCACCCCTTACCTGAGGCAGTTTAAAAGTCACCCTTAGCTGTCTGAATGTTAAATACTGTTTTCCCCCTTAAGCAGAAAACGAGCTGTGGCAGCTTCACTGTGTGTCTCATTGACCATCCAGTTGGTGTTATAATCAAGGATCATTAGGAGGTAGACCCTGCAGATAACAATTACAGGTTGGAAGGGACCTTTAGACACCTTATAAACTAACCCCCTGCTAAAGCAGTAGATCTTGCACCATTTTAGACAAATAGGTGTCTACTCTTTTAAAAATCTTCCAGTGTTGCAATGTGCACTTTGGCACTTGAATTAAGCACACACATCCCATTTCTGTGGTTTGGGGGTGTTGTCTTCCAAGGCCGCTTGCTTTGGGAATGTGAGAATTGTCTTTTCAAACCTTACTGTCTCCATTTCCTTGCCAAGTCTCTGGAGATTCCCTGGCTTAGAGTCTTGAAAAAAGTCTGCATGGTTGTTGTGGCCCGCCAGTGGAGTTGGCAGCAGATTTGGACAGTGAGGAGTTTGGGGACGAACATGGGCTAGTCCTGGAGTCTGGGGAAGACCCTGATGAGGACTCTGTGTCAGAGAAAGAGAAGGGGACAGAGCCATATGCCAGTTATCAGCTGCCTTCAGAGTCAGAGACCAGTGAGGCAGATGAACAGCTGAAGCCTATTCTCAGTGTGCTCATTCACAGAGTTGCCAGCCGAAAGGAACAGCTAAAGAATGGGTTGACTTGGGAGTAAGGTCACAGGTGGATGATGAATGGCCCCTCCCAGAGGAAATAAAAGAGGAGCGAAAGGGGAGCTGAGTTTGCAGGAGGTAATTAGTTCACTTAATTGGTTTGTGACTCCATGAGACTCCTTGCCAAATTTTGCAGATATCAGCCTGGCAGCTCTCCAAGCCAGATAAGGTCTTTGTCTTTCCTCCAATGAAAGACTTTGCTGGATGTGAATGAGCAGAATTCACAGTAAATTAATAAAAGGGTTATTTTGTCAGGCCCAGGAGTTCGCTTCATGCTCTTGGGAAGTCTAGGTCAGCACAATGGTGAAGAGAGAGAACCAGCCCTGGTGCTGCTTTCTGGTACCACATTCCTCATACCTGCTTTCAAACAGGTTTGACTCTATAATCCTTAGGCTAACTCTGAATGTAGCTGCACAAAACCAGGGTGGGTTTTGTCAAATGGCTAAAAATGCCACTTTATCCATTTTCTCCTCAACCCCAACCACCCCAAAGAGGGTTTCTATTGGTTGTTTCCAATATCTAGTGCACAGGTGTCAAACTCACTGTATCACGTTTCTGTCACAGGATGTTTTTCCCATTCTCAGAGTTGGGATGGATGTGATGCATCCAGCCTCAGGCCACCAGTTTGACACCCCAATTTTCTAGTGGCTTTGCATGAAAGGACAAGTAAATAAATGAGGTAGAAAACTGTCAAAGTGCTTGTCCGTAATATGTCTTAACTCTATGCATAATGAAAACTGCATTATGTGCTGACAACATTTCTGTAACAAGACAGAAGTCACTACAGTTAGGAAAAATTATACCAGTGTGGGTTTTGTCGCTGTCTTAGGAGTGCTAAATAGCACTTCAACTTGACTGTGAAAGCGAGCCTATGATTGGCTAATAAACTCAGAAGCTGTTCTCCCACAGTGTTTACTTTTGCAATACTCCTGTGACAATTATCGCACAAGACATTGTGACTGCTAACAAGCAACTTGTGAGTTTCAGAAGCTGAATTTGAACTTGGGCCTCCCTATCATGGTTCAGCACTTTAATTGTTGTATCCCATCTTCTGACTTACCACAAAAAAACAGAACAGATGCTCAGATTTTAGTTGGGAGGGATAATGTAAATAATTGAAATAATTATGAAGTGATCTACTAGCTACTTTTTGTCTTTCTCTTTTGGCCATTTCTGATCTTGGAAGCTAAAGAGGATCAGGTTAGATAGTAGACACAGAAAGGTGTTGTCTAGTGTATGAAGTTGAATAAAGTCAATGGCAAACCCCTTCCATATTGCTACCAAGAAAATTGCATGAACAAGTCTGTAAAATAACTAGAGCTCCTGCTTGACTTGACTTCTTTAGGTTTACTTTATTGTAAATTTAAGTTTATTCATCTTTTATATTCTGGAACAAGATTTCAACTGCACACATTTCCCAGAATATAGTTTTACACCTGATGGTTTTGTGCTAGCTTGACAATTATGCATACATTTTCTTGCCATCTGTTGTAATTATTTTTTAAACATTAACAAAAAGACAGTGTTGGCACCCCCTAAGAAAATATGGATGCTCTCTGGTAAGGCATATGTACAGATACTTGTCAGTTTCCAGAAATGGATAAAGTGCTACATCATTAATCTGAAGAACATGCTTGTCTCCAAAGAGGAATGCCATCTGTGATTATTCTAAATTTGTTGGGATATTAGCTACTAGCTAGTTTTCTTAATCCTGTTTGCCAATCAGCAGAAGTCAATCTATAGATTCTGTTTGAGTCCTGGTTTGTTTTCATTCTAAGTTTTAATTAGTTTTGTTACTACACAAAGACTTCGTAACCATCTGTAATTTTGAAATTAAGGAAAAAAATGACATGACTAGTTCATCATGCTATTAACGGGTTGTTTCGCAGGGATGCCATATCAAATTATGTTGCTGTTAGTTGCAAAGTTGTATCCGACCTGTCGTGACCCCATGGACAATGTTCCTCCAGGCCTCCTTATCTTCTACAATCCTCTGGAGTCCATTTAAAATCAGGCCTACTGCTTCAGTGACTCCATCCAGCCACCTCATTCTCTGTCGTCCCCTTTCTCTTTTGCCCTCAATCGTTTCCAGCATTAGGCTCGTCACTAGTGAGTCCTTCCTTCTCATTAGGTGGCCAAAAGGATTTGAGTTTCATCTTCAGGATCTGGCCTTCTAAAGAGCAGTCAGGGTTGATCTCCTCTAGGACTGACCGGTTGGATTGCCTTGCAGTCCAAGGGACTCGCAGGAATCTTCTCCAGCACTATAGTGCAAAGGCCTCAATTTTTTGGCGCGCAGCCTTTTTATGGTCCAGTTTTCTCAGCCATACATTGCAACTGGAAAAACCATAGCCGTGACTATGCACTTTTGNATGCTTTTCCCATTGACTGGAATTATGTTGAAGAGGGAGGGCAGCAAAGCGAAAGGATCAAGCTAATTGCTTTGCTTAAACCTGTGCATGTTTGATAGTGTGCCAAAAGACAGGGCTCCGTAATGTGGTCAGCAAACTTCATGCCAGAATAACATATTAAAAATTATTGGTGTTTTATTAAAGATGTAATTGGTCCAGTTGAAGGTTTTACAAAACAGCTCTAGGCATTTAGTTTCTATTACCTCTGCAATATAAATACAATATATTGCATCTTTGCAATTGGACCTTGCATTCTGTCTGCCATCCTATTCCATTGCCATCATTACTTGAACTCTACAGAATTCCAGCAGATGTTTTCTCCAGGACAACCTCAAATAGAAATTATGTAATGAAAATTTCCCACAAGCCATCTAGGATTCTGAGTGAACACAAAGTTCCATACAAGTTTTTTTTTTAATAACACTGTGGAAGTACTTTGCCATTGCTGCCTTCTAAAATAGATTTTTTTTAAAAGTCAATCTAATGGCCAGACATGAGAATACCTGGTGGTTTTCCTTCCGGCAAGATTACCTAATGATGGTTACTTGCTACAGGTATCACTTTCTTAGAGCTATGAAAAAGCGAAAGATTGCTGAGTTTTATTCAGACTTGCAGCTTCAAACAATGTTGCTTTAGTTACTCTGGAACCAAATCTTATTTGTTCTCCAAAGTTCACTAAAGTATATTAAGGTTCATTAATATACGAATCTGTGTGTGATATATTAAGGAAAGCTGTTTAGCCTTTGCACATAATCTGTTAACAATGCTGACATTTCCTTTCAGTTGTTGTAGCAGTGATGTGGGCTGAGAGAGTGATCCCTTCATTTGCTTGGATAATTCCTGCATCTGTGGCTATTTCTATATTTGGTGCCCTCAACGGCAGCGTATTCACTCTTGGACGGTTGAGCTACGCTGCGAGTCAGACTGGACAGTTGCCCATTATAGTATCCATGCTTAATATCCACCATTCTACTCCAGCACCAGCCATGATTTTGTCCACCGTTATTGCAACTGCTTTCCTCATTTCATCTGATCTAATTGCATTAATGAATTATTTTGGATTCTCCATTTGGCTTATGACTGGACTAACATGCGCTAGCGTCATTGTCCTCCGATATCGAGAGCCTGATCTACTCAGACCATACAAGGTACATAGAAAGGAATGGAAATGTGTAACTAAATTTTTAACTTGTATTTTGTATTTTATTAGTTTGTCAAACATGTACAAGATAGCAGGTATTATATAAACATGCACATGAATGAAAGAAATGAACACAAATAAATGGGAACAGTAGGACAGAGATGGTAGGCACAGTGGTGCGCTTATGCACGCCCCCTTTATGACTTCTAAGGAATGGGGGGAGGTCCACAGGAGACAGTTTAAGGTTGAAGCTGAGAGGGTTAGAGGATGTAACAATGGAGTCAGGTTGCTGCTACAGTGGGCTTTGGGGCTTAAATTGTTTGAGATGAGTACTCCTACGTCCTTGACAGAGTGAGGGTTGTCTACAAGATCATATCCGCCCAGCTTGTATCCTGTTGTACATAATGTTTGGGTCTGGTAATCTTTGAAAGGTCAGTCGGTCACCCTAAGCAGGCCCAGTGCCAATTTTACCAGTGGAATAGATAAACAAAGGAAGCTGCTTTATACTGAATCAGGTCACACAACAATCAAATCCCAGCAGTGTTTATTTTGATTGGCAATTACAAGTCCCCAGGTTCTCAATATTTTCCATTCCCTGATTCTGAGAAGCACATTCAACCTTGCTCTGCTGGGTTTGTACAATGAGTAAATTCTGTTTGGATGATAGAGAATGTGGAAGAAAAACATCACAGCCAATGCTGATTTTGCATTCATGAAAGTCACCTTTTTAAAAAATAGCTTAATAGCTCGGTACTATATATAATGGCCATATGCAAGATTGAGTGAATTCAGGCAAATTACTGTAAGATGATTACTTAAGCCTCACAGTTAAAGTAAGTGTCTTCAGAGTTATTTATGGATCTCCTAGTGACCATCAGCTGATTGTATGTACTCATAAAATCATAAGAAATAGTTGTCTAATGCAGCTCTGGCAAGATTGTGCCTAAAGTTGATTCATGTTCATGTATGAAATGTAATTTTTTTTGTGCATTTATTTCTTGCTTGTTCATCTATTTAACACCTGTTGTTTTAATTCTGTCTTTATATTTTACAGGTTTGTTTACCAGTTGCCTTTGGAATGGTGGCCATTTCCTTGTTCTTAGTTTTGGTTCCTATAATTTGGTCCCCGAAAGTGCAGTATTTATATGCTTTCCTTTTCATGGTTGGTGGGATTTTTTTATACCTACCCTTTATACATTTTCAAATACATTTTGAGTGGCTTGATAAAATGACTTGCTATCTGCAGCTGCTGCTCCAGGTTTCTCCTGCTAATTATAAATCTGAGTAATGCCAACATTTTAAACTGTGCAGTAGGAATAATACGTTCCTTGTGCAGCACAGCGACAGCTTCTGATATCTCCCTTCTTGCTATATATATATATGTATATGCATGTTTCTGAAATATATGTAGTTTTGTACATATACACAAGTGGCTTTTCATGAAAAGATTTTGACTGAATAAACCCTGCAGCTCAGTGTTTTCAACCTTGGCAGTATTAAGATGTGTGAACTTCAACTTCCAAGCTGCTGGCTGGGGAATTCTGGGAGTTGAAGTTTGCACATTTTAAAGTTACCAAGGTTGAAAAATATTGCTGTAGCTTTTTCCAAATCATCTGAAAAACCTTCTTGGAGTCTAGGAGACTCAGGGGGATATAGTGGAAGAAATTTAAAATAAAAATAAGACTTTAAAAAAACCCAAAAGAATTTAACATTGATTATATTTGCCAAGTAAAAAATGAAAATACCTTTAACATAATTAAGGAGAAAAATCCTTAAAACCCCGAACAACTTTTAACAAATCCTTTGTTAAATAACAATTTTGTTATCCTTTATTAAAAGTTGGCATCATCATTATCAGGCTCATTATCATTATATGGCATCGATTTTTTCTGTGGTTACTTCTACATCAACACTGTTTGGTTATTTTTCAAATGCCTTTTGTGCCTCTATCCCATTGGTGCCAAACTTGCAACATTACACTGCCGTCATGTGATGTATCACAATTCCCCCTACCACCCTTTTGCTGAACTGGGGTGGGCATGGCCTGCATGTGCTGCATCCAGCCCCGTCGGCCACCAGTTTGATACCCCTGCAAGTCTATCCCATCTCAGTTACAGTAGTTTTCACCTGCCACTAAAGATCAAGTGTCCTACTTGACACAATCTTAGTAGGGATTGTGCTATGTTCACACATTATGTATCAGGCCTGGAAGCCATGTTAGGCCTTGGATCTTCAGGCCAGCCACCTTTCATGCTGTGGGAAACTGGGTGACGGAATTGCATGGAGCTGGGGAGAGATATAGTCAAAATAACATTCCTTTCTCCCAGAGTCCGGATGTTAACATTCTGAGAAGCATGGCTATCCTTACCACCAGTGGTGGGATTCAAATAATTTAACAACCGGTTCTCTGCCCTAATGACCGGCTGGGCCATGGTGGACATGGCCAGAGGGGTGATAGGCAGCACTTGGCTTCCCTGCAGCTGCCTGGAAGCAAAAAAGGGCCATGGCAAGCCCCCCACCCCACCCCAAGCCCTATTTTGGGCCTAGTAGGCCTCCCTGCACTTACCTGGGAGCCAAAACAGGGCAGGAAGGGGCTCGGTCAGCCAGCAATTTAACAACCGGTTCACTAGAACCATCCCAAACTGGCTGAATCGCACCACTGCTTACCACACCACGCCCTTGTTGAGGGCTAATGAATGAAACTTCCACCTTCTGCAATTAACTACCTGCTACTCTAATCTCTCTTAATCCAGTGGAGGACTGGCTGAGATAGGAGGGCAACTTACTATGTCCTCGGAGACCATTGGAAGTGAGGCACAGGAAGAAGAGGAGAACCAGACATGGGTATAAGTATACATCATTATCAGCTTAAAGCATCCAATAAGTAACTAGTTGATTCTACCTACTCTGATTCATATGAGTTTACCTCTGCCAACAGCACATCAGATTTTTTTTTTACTGCTGCTGAATGCCATTGGATTAAGAGGAGAAATTTTATTGATTATTTTAATTCCATCTTTTCTATTTTATAAGTAATTCAAGACAGGGAGCATACATAATACTCCTTCCTCCTTCTGTTTTCTCCATAATAACAAAACTGTGAATGACAGAGCACGATTGGCCCAATGTCACCAGCCAGCTTTCATGTCTAAGGTAAGACTAGAATTTGCAATCTCATGGTTTCTAGGCCAGCACTCTTAACAACTACACCATACCGGCTCTTTATTGCTACTTTAGTAACACCACAGCTAAGTTGGCAGAAGCTATCTACTCCTGGGTTGAAGATATGATTAAGACAATTTCATGATGATCTATCAGAAAAAAAATACTGTTTGGATATGTTTGTAACCATGATGAGATGCAAAAAGAAAAAGGCCCAAAGACCAATAGGGAAACCATCTATAAGGATTTGCAATGCTGTTTGCAATTCTTGTAATTATTCAGATTGGTTTTACTGACTGTAGATCTGACAACCCTCCTGTCAAAATAAAGGGCATTGTTTTCTTTATGTAACACAGTATGGTGACTGAAAGAAAATGTGCTTATTTGTGTTGCAAATTGCAGCCATAGTTATTGGCAATTTCATTGTCTGTTCTAAAAGCACAGTTCCTTGTTGGATAATATACAAAGGATAAATTAGAATTTCTTTTTTTTAAAAAAAACCCTTTAATTTTTGAAGCCAAGAAAGAAAGATTTGAAAATTGCAGCCTTCATAGTAAGGCTGGATGGGTAAGCATAATTATTATTGTTCAGGCTTTTCAAAGGTTAGGATTTGTTACCTATTATGAATAATAGTTGTCAATCCTCTTTTCTTCAAAATCTCTGCTGGCAAATTTAACACTGATCCTACACTGAACTTGCCATTTTGGAACATATGCACACACTATCAAAAGAAACAGGAGTCTGGTAGAAAAAAAAGAGATTTTTCTTCTTTATCATCATCATCATCATCATCATCATCATCATCATCATCATCATCATCATCATCATCATCATCATCAT